GGGCGGAAACGCATTTTATCCTGCATGCTAAGATCAGACGGAAAAAGTCCATGTTGATCTCTAGGCAAAAGTATCAGCTGCTGAAGGTGAACACTCGATATAGTATGGTTTCCTGTAAAGTGTTTAGCGTAAAATTGATGTGATATTATCAGTAAGTTTTATTTTTTTAAATACCTATTATTATATGACGGTCTTGTTTCATCAGCCGTACCCGAAACTTATTAACAAGATGGGTTGTGTCCTGGATACAAATGTTGTCCGTAGAACAGTCAGCAAAAAACCATTCACCGATTCGATTCTCGTCTTTGATTGGAATTCTCATGCGATTCATCATGGCCTGAACCAATCGTGGATCACCATCAGATGCTCTGCATATCATTAGTATTCCAAGCTTTTTACACTCCTCTTCAGTGTGTTTCCATCTTCTGAGAACATCTTTTGTGGTGAATCTATTGTCCGAACAAGTGAACATCAGGCAGAATGCCTCAGAACCTGATTTTAACGGTTGGGCCATGGTAACATAAAGGTTCCGACCAACTGGATACCGTTGAAGGAATTCTTTAACCTGTGCTGGGGAGGAAGCAACAAAAAAATTCCTGATGGGCATTCCGTTGGTATCGACAGGTGGAACTAGACCATATATTTCATCTTTGATAGAGTTATAGCTAACCCCACCAGAGATACGGGTTGCATCTTCACTCAATACGAATACCCTTGGAAAATCGTTGAGCTCAAGATATCGAGAGAATTCCGGCAGTCTCAGACAATCTGGTTTTACATTTCTGCTCATTTTTTTCAAATGTTGCTGACATGTTCTAATATCCGGCGACACGGAATTTGCGTGTTCAAATTCGTAAGCCGATTTGCCACACTGTACATATTTGTACGTGAAATAATCAAGCTCCTTATCAGTATAACGTCTACCTCTTGGATGTATACCAGCCAATCGCGCTTCGCAAGCGGTTAGCAGGTTCAGTATGCTTCCCGTATGAGCCTGTTTATCCTCGATACTGCGACTGGCCAAATCGCAGTATCTATCTAGTTTAAAGGGTCATCTTCATCGGATTTTCGATCCTGTTGGTCCTCTTCAAACGATAGTTCTCCACCGGAACTGCGTTCCGCATCTTCATCGGACTCTACTTCCTCACCAGCATCATCGTCGGCTTTCTGATTCTGCTCTACCATTTGGTCCTCAGCGCTTTTTACTTCATTGTCGGCCTCTAGATTCTCATTGCTCACTAGCTCCTCATCGGATTCCAGTTCTTCACCAGCACTGCTTACCGGATCGGATTCTATCTGCTTATCAGCGTCTAGCTCTGCAATGGCATCTACTTCCTCATTGGATACATCTATCTCATCGTTTTCCAGCTCCTCACCGTCGTTTAGCTTCACATCGGTATTTAGATCATCCGGCTCTGGTTTCTCACCGCATTTGCTGACCTCCAGGTACTCGCAAGGGTACTCGTCAATGTTCTCGATCGTGAGCTCAGCTGTTGCAAAACTGTTTTTAATAGTCCGGCTACAGCTTGGTGTGACTACATCCTGGTCAAATTGGTGAGGCGTAACATTTGCGCTGGTGTCTAGACGAAGTCGTTTTGTTTGCGCTCCGAGTTGTTCCCAGGTTTTGTACTCGTAATGTGATCTGCAGTTGAATGTTTGGCCTTAACGTGAGCTGAAAAGTTGGATATTTTCCAAGTTCCTGATTTTTCAGGCCGTATCGTGACGATGTTACCACAAAATGGACATTGGATACATGCTTTGATACCACAGTTATCCTGCTGAATGTTTAGCGATAACTTAGCCAGTTTTGTAAACAAATCAATACTTGTGTCGTCTCTGTAATAGAATGGGGTCGTAAAATAACAGGAAAGCTAAGATTTCAATAATGATAAAACCTTTTTTTGTAGTAGTCCAAAATCTTATTGTGGACAGATCGTGAGGCATCTTGTGCTGCAGTCACGTTCAGAGTTTGTTGTCCGGACAACCTTTTACAAAACCGCTTTATTCCATGTTGTTTGATACAGTCTGCCACAAGTTTCATTGCACTTCTTTCACCGGTCACGAAACGAAATTCACGAATATCTCCGGGTATATTACCGAACATTTCCTTCACCTCCTCAACAGATTTTCCCAGTATCTCCAGCATCCGGCGAACATCAGCTTCAATGGCATCTATGGTTCGGTCATCAATGGATGCCAACCCTCCATGGAGATATTTTGTTCCTTCCAGCGCCGCCCGAACACTTATTGGAATTGGCCCCGTAATTTTGGAAACCTCTTTCCAAAAATTGCTAATATTGATTTCCATTTTTGAATTTGAATCACAAGCGAGATGACAAGCAGTTTCCGGTTTTCCCCGTTGACAGGTAACACTGCGATACACACTAAACATAACATCAGCAGTAACGAGCAGAATTATCCGATATATCCAATATTATCGATTAATAGTGGATGAAATCGGATGACATCTGAAGACACGTGTTATTAATCATTACGGATCGAATTTATCCGGTGTTTATCGTAATTATTCAGCAAATTTATTTGAAATCTGTTAAATTAAATGCAGAATGGATTACTTTCGTCCCCCTCGGAAATTGCCGTAAAAGCTCTACACAGATGTTGCCACTGCATGATAATGATAATGTGACAGGCTACATAGCAAATTCATGAAAATGAGCATTAATTCATAATTTTCATCAGACCTACAAAACATCCATTCAATACATCTTTCGAATGGTGTTAGGAAAACTTCATTCCAATCAGACTTCTTTGAATCTTTGAGTATTCCAGTTGGATTTTAATACAAAATATTCATATTTTAATAAATGCTCATTTTCATGAATTTGCTATGTAGCCTGTGAACTGAGCTGTGAACATTATCATTATCATGCAGTGGCGACATCTGCGAAGACCTTTACGGCAATTTCCCAATATCGAAAAAAACTGCATCACCATCACTGTATATAGCCAATGGGAAGCGAGGAAATATGGTACCGGCAGAACTGGTTGTCTAGATTCGACTCAACCGTCTAGTTCCGTACAAGAAGCCAAAATTGAGTAATATGCGATATACCCAAATTTGAGTTAATTGAACTTAATTTTGGGTAGAAAAAATTAAAAATAACTTAGCGATGGGTAATTTTTTTTGCCGAGCTTAAATGCAAACTACTTTGAGCCGGTTTACCCAAATTTGGCTTATCGTACGGAACATGGAGATGAGTGAAAAGAACTTAATTTTGGGTTGTTTTGAATTTCTGTGTACGCTCGATGTGCGGTATAAGAGGTGAGGAGAAAGGAAACTAGTGGACTCTTTCGTTCTCGCGTCTTCTTACGCAGCAACAGACGTGACGTCACGTCTGCTGTTGCATAAGAACTTCGTCAGAATGAAAGAGTCCACGTTAGTTTCCTTTCTCCTCACCTTTGTTACCGCACATCGAACTACGCTGGCATCAATCCCACCAAGGTGGTCATACTTTAAAATAGGCCTGATAGGACTAGTAACTGTAAATAATAATTAAAATCTCAAATGAACTAAAGTTGAAAAGACGCATTTGAGTCACTTGAAAAATTGATAAATGTAAACCACACAAACACAAGAAATAAAGATCATTTTAAGTCAGTAAGTCGCTTTAGACTTAGTTTCGATTCATCCGTTCAACGACAAACATCATGCATCAATGACTGGTCGTGGCAAGGGAGGCAAAAGTCTTGGAAAAGAAGGCGCCAAGCGTCATCGGAAGTTGTGCGTGACAACATCCAGGGCCTGCCATCCGTCTTCTGGCTCGACGTGGTGGTGTCAAGCGTGTCTCCGGTCTGATCTACGAGGGAACCCGAGGTGTGCTGAAGGTGTTCCTAGAAAATATGATCCGTGATGCCGTCACCTACACTGAACACGCCTAGAGCAAAACCGTCACGGCCATGGCTGTCGTCTACGCTCTGAATCGACGGACGCACGCACTCTTTACGGTTTCGGAGGTTAAAACTTATTACCAACGTATCAAAACGGCCCTTTTCAGGGCCACCAAGTTCAATTCAGAAAAGAGTTAGAATAGAATTTATATAGAATAACTCATGATTCACCCATTCAATTTGTCACTAAATTGATGTATATTGATGATACAAAAATAAAATAATTTGTTAGGGAAATAAATTATGTTCTATTTGTAGTCTTATCGGTGGGTTAAATTTATTCCGTTTAACTTTCATAAACTGAGAAACCCTCATCGTATGCATTCTCCTGCTGCGCGACATCTTCGAAAACGCCCGAACCGTTAAATAATACAGAGTACAGACTAGAAAATCGAACAAAAATTTCGTAGTCCTACGTCAACAATGCGGTCGTGTCTTGTACACCACCCTCCAACTTTTTTCTTACCGTGAGGGGGTATAAATCATTCCATGAGACAGCCTCGAAGATAATAATAACTTCACTCTTTGACACTAAACTAACAATCTGACAGCTCACTCCCATACAAAGTCCCACCGAGGGGCGCTAAGATTGTGATTTTTGCTAATGTAATTGCACTTATTTAAAATAGGTCCAGCAGTTCCAGTGCCCCAAAAGTGATGAAAATTTGGATTTCGGTTGCATTTTTATTGTACGTAAATTACGATTATGCATTAACCTCAATACTCCTAAAGAAATTGGATTATTTAAGGGTATTGAGGAAAATGCATATTCGAAATCTGCATTAAAAATGGTACTGACATCCAAAATTTCATCAATTTTGGTACTCTGGAACTATTGTATATAAGTGTGATTACATTAGCAAAAATCACCATCTGAAATCACCATGGACTGAATATTTATCCTCTTAGATATTTATAGTATTGGACTAGTATAAGTGAACCAATAAATTGCTCGCAGCTAAGAAATCTTTCCGGAATATTAAGGATATTGGGGTAAAATTATGCCCTTCTTCCAATTCCACCGACGCTTTAAATCTGTTTAAATCACATATTTTTTATATTCATCACATACAATTACATAATACATTATATTAAGTTAATCAGTATCCTATTAAATCTATCTTATCTGTCTTTTACGAGTCAAATGTTCCGAAATTCTTACTTTACGCAATAGTTTGCAGCTTCAAGCAAACATCCAGCCCCACGCTTAAATCCGACCGATGTTTGTTGACCAACTTGAGCAGTTCAATCTTCTTATCCTTGGCGTTGTTCGACTCCAGCTCGTACAACGTAGAAAGATTAACCAACAGCGACTCGTTCAGAGCCAGTTTGGGGTTCCTCTGGACTGCTCCCTCAAACAATTTGATCGCTTCCTTCAACTTACCCGAATACAGCAAGCACACACCCATGTTGTTATATAGCATGGTATCGCTGGCATCCAATCCGGATGCCTTCTGAAACAAGCCGAAAGCGCTTTGAAAATCATTTTGCGCCACCGCCAGCAAACCACGGTCCACCAAATCTCGAACATCCCCTTGATTCGCCTGATCGCCTCCTTTCAATCGCTTCGCTTCGGAAAATTTCTTCTCCGCACCATAGATATCACCGCACTGCAATCGAATCCTTCCCCAAGCGGATAGAAGTGCACGCTTCTCGTCGATCGTGGTCGTTGGATCTTCTACCAACTGCCGAATCAGTTGATCGGTTAAACCAAAATCCTTCACCAAAAGCGAGCAGTTTACGATGGAATGTAGGATACGCTTTTCGCGTAAATGCCAAAACTGCATAGCTTCTTTGCTGGCACCGCTCGCTGGCAGTCGTTCAAAGTAGCTTTTGATTTGATTGGTAATGGCCAACATTTCCGTTAGTCGATCCAAGGCCACCCTGGGAGCTCCCATGTAGATGGGCAATTCTGCCAGTAGCAACCTAAAAGAAAACGAAGCCATCGAACCTTTCTTGTCGGTATGCATGTCCGGATGATGAAATTCGTAGAATACGTCAGGTTTGTTTAGCGATCCGAATGGTTCAGCTTCAATCCGGGCAATTTCGAACTGCCCCAGCTTTACCAACAGTGCCAATCGAGTGAACCACAACTGCAACGAATTTGGCGAATGTTTCACCATATAACCAGCTCGGCCAAAACCCTGCTGTTTGATAGTCAGCAATCGAGCCGTCAAATTGACCGCCGAACGGAAGCATCCGTGTTCGATCAGTTCCCTCAAGCCTCGTTCATCCTGGGTGACATCGTTCGGGGATAGAATTTTCCTATGCTGAGCCTCAACTATGTCTACCAAAACACTTACGGCTTCATGGACCGGATCGTTCAAATCGGTAGCTACACTGACTCCGGGCATGGTAAGCGATGGCGCAACTCCCTGTTCTACCACCGGGAGCTCCCATAAATCCCGAACGCTGTCTGGAATGTTGGATTTCAGATCAATCGAAGACGATGACTGCAGGAAGTCGTAGGAAGCGTACGCGTTCGGGATCTGAGATGCGTTTTTGGCTAAATAGAGAAGGGATTTATGAGGTGTACAATCAGTGCATATCAAGTTGAAGCGTTCTTACCATTTTTACCCGCGAGATGATCGAAAAAACTAGGAGGATCGTTAGCGAAGTATTGGCTCAAGCTGGGTTCGGTTTTATTTTCCGTCATATTATAAGATTAAATCAAATTTTGTAAAATTTTCCAAGCGATTGCAAGAGTTCAATGCTATTTTCACTGTTTTCGAAAAACACCTGATGACTTGTCATAAAAAATCCCCGTGGCAGATTGCAGTCGAGCCAGAGTGGCCAGATTATTTTTTTCATTATCGGAAGCTTCTCAAAACTTTTATCGGTAGTTATCGGTAGGTCGACTTCCCGCATAAACGCGAACCATCACATGACCTTACCGATAATGGTTATAAATTGTTTATAATCCCTGCTAAACTTCAACTGAAATGGTTATGGAACTTTACATGAACGTTTGTGTGATAAAGTTTTAACCTTATGTATTATGGTTTTTTGGAAGCGGACCTTACAAATAATGGGTTGTTAAGAACCATTACCATTCCAAATTCTTGTTTTCTCCATACATTATCGGAAAGAGAACTATATTAGAACGTTTTTACTTATGGTTTGAGAACATTAATGGTTATGGTTATGGTAGTCAGTAAGGTCCATTAATGGTTTTGTATTATCGCTCAACTTTACGTGAAATATATCGTGAATTGGTAATCAGTAATTTGCAGGCAACCAATTCGCGATATATTCCACATAAAGTTGATCGATGTTACAAAACCATTCATGGACCTTACTGCTTACCATAACCATTACCATTAATGTTCTCAAACCATAAGTTAAAAGGTTTTAGTATAGTTTTCTTTGCGAAAATGTATGGAGAAAACAAGAATTTTGAATGGTAATGGTTCTTAACAACCCATTATTTGTAAGGTCCACTTCCAAAAAACTATAATACTTAAGGTTAAAACTTTATCATTAAACGTTCATGTAAAGTTCCATAACCATTTCAGTTGAAGTTTAGCAGGGATTATAAACAATTTATAACCATTTTAGGTAAGGTCAATTTATGGTTCTCGCTTATGCGGGTTAAGAAGGCTTTTCTGATACTTGAAACTTTTGTGAGCGGGGGGGATAACTCTACTCCAGAACACTACACTGTCCTTCAGTTTTTCTGCTTTAAACGTGTCGAAATCAATGTTTCTAATTATAATCTAAAAATCTGTGATTCTCGGTAGGAAAAGTGAAAAATCGGTAGTTTTGAACCTTTCGTCTGTGAATCGGTAGGTCTGGCCACCCTGTCTGTCAGATGAATTCCATCCTTCAATTCCTGTCATACAATCAGGGTGCCTTCCATTCATTTTGACTATGACTGCAAATTTAGCTTTGACAGAGCCACAATGAGCGATTTTCTGATCGCCTCTTCGCAAAGAGTGAAGAGCGAAGAGTGGGTGAGATAAATGACAAAATCGCTTATTGCGACCCTCATGCAGCAACATTGGCTGATATAATGTGTCAAACATAAACTCCACAATATTTTCTTGTTGCTTATACAAACAAAATATTATTATAATATCTTATTATTCCATAATTTCATAAAACATTTTTTTAGCCAAAATGAATGGAAGGCACCCTGACAATCCAGCCATGTCGACAAAGATAGCGTAGACACCTGTCCAGTCGATCAACCCGTCCAAACCTTTAAATCGATTTATCTCCGTAAATATGGCTCTAATCGCGAAAAGAGGGGTGTTCAGATGTTCGAAATTTTCATACCTAGATTTCTTAGTATATAATATCCCAAAAACTTTTATTTGTCAGCTGGTGGACCTTCCAAACCTTTAAATCGATTAATCTCCGTAAATATGGCTCTAATCGCGAAAAGAGGGGTGTTCAGATGCTCGAAATTTTCATACCTCGATTTCTTAGTATATAATATCCCAAAAACTTTTATTTGTCGGCTGGTGGACCTTCCAAACCCTTAAATCGATTTATCTCCGTAAATATGGCTCTAATCGCGAAAAGAGGGGTGTTTAGATGCGCGAAATTTTCATACCTCGATTTCCCAGTATGTTATATCCCAAAATCTTTTACTTGTCAGCTGGTGGACCTTCCAATCCCTTAAATCGATTTATCTCCGTAAATATGGCTCTAATCGCGAAAAGAGGGGTGTTCAGATGCTCAAAATTTTCATACCTCAATTTCCCTGTGTGTTATATCCCAAAATCTTTTATTTGTCGGCTGGTGGACCTTACAAACCTTTAAATCGATTTATCTCCGTAAATATGGCTCTAATCGCGAAAAGAGGGGTGTTCAGATGCTCGAAATTTTCATACCTAGATTTCCTAGTATATAATATCCCAAAAACTTTTATTTGTCAGCTGGTGGACCTTCCAAACCTTTAAATCGATTTATCTCCGTAAATATGGTTCTAATCGCGAAAAGAGGGGTGTTCAGATGCTCGAAATTTTCATACCTCAATTTCCCAGTATGTTATATCCCAACATCTTTTATTTGTCGGCTGGTGGATCTTCCAAACCTTTAAATCGATTTATCTCCGTAAATATGGCTCTAATCGCGAAAAGAGGGGTGTTCAGATGCTCAAAATTTTCATACCTCAATTTCCCTGTGTGTTATATCCCAAAATCTTTTATTTGTCGGCTGGTGGACCTTACAAACCTTTAAATCGATTTATCTCCGTAAATATGGCTCTAATCGCGAAAAGAGGGGTGTTCAGATGCTCGAAATTTTCATACCTCAATTTCCCAGTATGTTATATCCCAAAATCTTTTATTTGTCGGCTGGTGGACCTTCCAAACCTTTAAATCGATTTATCTCCGTAAATATGGCTCTAATCGCGAAAAGAGGGGTGTTCAGATGCTCGAAATTTTCATACCTAGATTTCTTAGTATATAATATCCCAAAAACTTTTATTTGTCAGCTGGTGGACCTTCCAAACCTTTAAATCGATTTATCTCCGTAAATATGGCTCTAATCGCGAAAAGAGGGGTGTTCAGATGCTCGAAATTTTCATACCTCAATTTCCCAGTATGTATTATCCCAAAATCTTTTATTTGTCGGCTGGTGGACCTTCCAAACCTTTAAATCGATTTATCTCCGTAAATATGGCTCTAATCGCGAAAAGAGGGGTGTTCAGATGCTCGAAATTTTCATACCTAGATTTCTTAGTATATAATATCCCAAAAACTTTTATTTGTCAGCTGGTGGACATTTCAAACCTTTAAATCGATTAATCTCCGTAAATATGGCTCTAATCGCGGGTGTTCAGATGCTCGAAATTTTCATACCTCAATTTCCCAGTATGTTATATCCCAAAATCTTTTATTTGTCGGCTGGTGGACCTTCCAAACCTTTAAATCGATTTATCTCCGTAAATATGGTTCTAATCGCGAAAAGAGGGGTGTTCAGATGCTCGAAATTTTCATACCTCAATTTCCCAGTATGTTATATCCCAACATCTTTTATTTGTCGGCTGGTGGATCTTCCAAACCTTTAAATCGATTTATCTCCGTAAATATGGCTCTAATCGCGAAAAGAGGGGTGTTCAGATGCTCAAAATTTTCATACCTCAATTTCCCTGTGTGTTATATCCCAAAATCTTTTATTTGTCGGCTGGTGGACCTTACAAACCTTTAAATCGATTTATCTCCGTAAATATGGCTCTAATCGCGAAAAGAGGGGTGTTCAGATGCTCGAAATTTTCATACCTCAATTTCCCAGTATGTTATATCCCAAAATCTTTTATTTGTCGGCTGGTGGACCTTCCAAACCTTTAAATCGATTTATCTCCGTAAATATGGCTCTAATCGCGAAAAGAGGGGTGTTCAGATGCTCGAAATTTTCATACCTAGATTTCTTAGTATATAATATCCCAAAATCTTTTATTTGTCAGCTGGTGGACCTTCCAAACCTTTAAATCGATTTATCTCCGTAAATATGGCTCTAATCGCGAAAAGAGGGGTGTTCAGATGCTCGAAATTTTCATACCTCATTTTCCCAGTATGTTATATCCCAAAATCTTTTATTTGTCAGCTGGTGGACCTTCCAAACCCTTAAATCGATTTATCTCCGTAAATATGGCTCTAATCGCGAAAAGAGGGGTGTTCAGATGCTCGAAATTTTCATACCTCATTTTCCCAGTATGTTTTATCCCAAAATCTTTTATTTGTCAGCTGGTGGACCTTCCAAACCCTTAAATCGATTTATCTTCGTAAATATGGCTCTAATCGCGAAAAGAGGGGTGTTCAGATGCTCGAAATTTTCATACCTCAATTTCCCAGTATGTTATATCCCAAAAACTTTTATTTGTCAGCTGGTGGACCTTCCAAACCCTTAAATCGATTAATCTCCGTAAATATGGCTCTAATCGCGAAAAGAGGGGTGTTCAGATGCTCGAAATTTTCATACCTCGATTTCTTAGTATATAATATTCCAAAATCTTTTATTTGTCGGCTGGTGGACCTTCCAAACCTTTAAATCGATTTATCTCCGTAAATATGGCTCTAATCGGAAAAGAGAGGTGTTCAGATGCTCGAAATTTTCATACCTCAATTTTCCAGTATGTTATAACCCAAAATCTTTTATTTGTCGGCTGGTGGTCCTTCCAAACCTTTAAATCGATTTATCTCCGTAAATATGGCTCTAATCGCGAAAAGAGGGGTGTTCAGATGCTCGAAATTTTCATACCTCATTTTCCCAGTATGTTATATCCCAAAATCTTTTATTTGTCAGCTGGTGGACCTTCCAAACCTTTAAATCGATTTATCTCCGTAAATATGGCTCTAATCGCGAAAAGAGGGGTGTTCAGATGCTCGAAATTTTCATACCTCATTTTCCCAGTATGTTATATCCCAAAATCTTTTATTTGTCAGCTGGTGGACCTTCCAAACCCTTAAATCGATTTATCTCCGTAAATATGGCTCTAATCGGAAAAGAGAGGTGTTCAGATGCTCGATATTTTCATACCTCAATTTCCCAGTATGTTATATCCCAAAATCTTTTATTTGTCAGCTGGTGGACCTTCCAAACCCTTAAATCGATTTATCTCCGTAAATATGGCTCTAATCGCGAAAAGAGGGGTGTTCAGATGCTCGAAATTTTCATACCTCATTTTCCCAGTATGTTATATCCCAAAATCTTTTATTTGTCAGCTGGTGGACCTTCCAAACCTTTAAATCGATTTATCTCCGTAAATATGGCTCTAATCGCGAAAAGAGGGGTGTTCAGATGCTCGAAATTTTCATACCTCATTTTCCCAGTATGTTTTATCCCAAAATCTTTTATTTGTCAGCTGGTGGACCTTCCAAACCCTTAAATCGATTTATCTTCGTAAATATGGCTCTAATCGCGAAAAGAGGGGTGTTCAGATGCTCGAAATTTTCATACCTCAATTTCCCAGTATGTTATATCCCAAAATCTTTTATTTGTCAGCTGGTGGACCTTCCAAACCCTTAAATCGATTTATCTCCGTAAATATGGCTCTAATCGCGAAAAGAGGGGTGTTCAGATGCTCGAAATTTTCATACCTCAATTTCCCAGTATATTATATCCCAAAATATTTTATTTGTCAGCTGGTGGACCTTCCAAACCTTTAAATCGATTTATCTCCGTAAATATGGCTATAATCGCGAAAAGAAGGGTGTTCAGATGCTCGAAATTTTCATACCTCAATATAATTTTACACACACTAGCGTATGCTGCCATATACACGTTAATAATCAAACACCCATTTATGAGTAAAAGTTAACCTATTGTTAATAAAAGTGGCACTACTAATTAATGAGTAATTTATTATGTCAATTAAGTAGTAACTGTTATGCCTTGTTCAGACTGGAGAGTTATAACATGTTATAGCGGTTGTCAAATAATTGCAACACAGAAACCACCATCAAGATAGCGCTATAACATGTTATAACTCTGTAGTCTGAACGTACTATTATACTATTAGCAACTGTTAGCAGAAACTCATTGTTGTTAAAATAATTTAGTCATAAATGAGTAAAGCCACTTTGATTAAAAATGGGTTAACTTTTACTCATAAAAGGGAATTTGACTGTTACTGTGCAAGCGTAGGGTTTGTTTTCGTTTTGTTGTTTATTTTCACTTTAAAATGACAGTTCTTACAGCCAACAAAGAAATTCTCACAGCTAACAAAAAATTTCATCTCACTAACACACGCAAATCGCACCAATACTAACCCGCCTGGAGAGGACTATGAGCGAAGGCATGCGGTGTGCGTCACCTGCTCGTGAGTAACTGAATGTTTTTGTTGGCTCTTTCATTGCCTCGTCCTTTACCGTTTGGTACAAACGGTCTGCACAGAGCAATGGATTGAATAGTGCAGTGCTTTCACACTCAGCCTACCCGCATAAACGCGAACCATCACATGACCTTACCGATAATGGTTATAAATTGTTTATAATCCCTGCTAAACTTCAACTGAAATGGTTATGGAACTTTACATGAACGTTTAATGATAAAGTTTTAACCTTAAGTATTATAGTTTTTTGGAAGTGGACCTTACAAATAATGGGTTGTTAAGAACCATTACCATTCAAAATTCTTGTTTTCTCCATACATTTTCGGAAAGAGAACTATATTAGAACGTTTTTACTTATGGTTTGAGAACATTAATGGTTATGGTTATGGTAGTCAGTAAGGTCCATTAATGGTTTTGTATTATCGCTCAACTTTACGTGAAATATATCGTGAATTGGTAATCAGTAATTTACAGGCAACCAATTCGCGATATATTCCACATAAAGTTGATCGATGTTACAAAACCATTCATGGACCTTACTGGTTACCATAACCATTACCATTAATGTTCTCAAACCATAAGTTAAAAGGTTTTAGTATAGTTTTCTTTCCGAAAATGTATGGAGAAAACAAGAATTTTGAATGGTAATGGTTCTTAACAACCCATTATTTGTAAGGTCCACTTCCAAAAAACTATAATACTTAAGGTTAAAACTTTATCATTAAACGTTCATGTAAAGTTCCATAACCATTTCAGTTGAAGTTTAGCAGGGATTATAAACAATTTATAACCATTATCGGTAAGGTCAATTTATGGTTCGCGCTTATGCGGGTAGGCAGTCAATAATTTTACGCTCTGGGTGGAGCCATATTTTGGAGGAATAGTGAGGGGGATAGGGGAAAATTCATCTGGTTGGACACATATTTAATTGTGGAGGAATTTTGTTTGTCTCAGCTCCGATTACTTGATGAAAGTTGGACTCAAAAAAGTGGCGCTGATGCGCTACCGAGCTGTTGTCGGCTCGGTTGTCGGGTTGAGGGAACAAGCCGGAGCCTGCGGCCCATTTGTGAACACGTTTTCCACGCATCTTATTAAGGGGAAGCATACCGCTCCGGAAAAAAAATTGAGTTTCGATTTTTCTAGAATTATTAGGAAAAGATATCAAAAATCTAAAAATAACACATTTTTTCGTATTTTTTAAAGAAATTTCACGGGTAAAAATATTTTTTTTATCTGTCGCCAAATGCTATTTTTTCTGATTTGGATTACAGTTTGGAAACAATGTCACGGGAATTAATGCCGGTCACGGGAAAGTTCGCGGGAAAGCAAGTTATGAATTGTTAGGTTAGCTTTACCTAAGTCTTCTTTTAGATATCTGCGGAGGCGAACCAACCTCAGGCTGTAAGCTTCCCTAATAAAGAAAACTTAACTTAACTTTTAGATATCTATAGAATATTATCGGAGACATCATATAAAGAAGACTGGCAACTTTGCCATAATCCAAGCAACAGATACAGTAGCGCTGTACTTGAGCGAAGGTGGAGGCAACGCATAAACAAATTAGCAAAAACACAAACCTTTCTTCAGAGGATGTAATCTTTGCTATCAAATTCGTTTGAAGTTTTTACCTTTGAGCGGCAGAAGACGCGATTGTATCTGTCTCGTAGCGGTTGTACGAGAAAATTGAAGAGTTGCCAGTCTTCTTGATATGTTGTCTTCGATATTATGCATGTACAGCTACGCTACTTTATGCAAATTTAATTTAAGGCAGCCGAATATTGAGTATAATGATATTAACATTATGTTACCTACATGCACACTAAGATTTTGTTTCCGTGTTCGGAAAATCTTATCGAAATCAGAACAGCTGAACGTTCGGTAAAACTTTGACCTTCATTTTAAAAGCTATTGAAAAAATAATTTCAAAATATCTCCAACCTTGTTAAAAAGATCAAATCTTGTCATTTAGTAGAGATTTAAATTCAAAGTAACTGAAAAGCAATTGAATTGATGCATTTATCGAAAAGTTCAGCTGTTCAGATTTTGGTAAAAATTACCGAAGTCGGCGATAATTTCGAAGTGTGTGAACAGTAACGAAAAAAAAATCTCGTGGATGATTTTCCTAACTGTAAACCAGCCTTATCGGTACACCAACTAGAAAAAGTATGGCTTCTGGTTACTTCTATAGTTCTTTGAACTGCGTATAGCAACCTCCGTAGGTAGATTTCCATGGTTAGAAGTTTGTTTATCTTTCAAAAATCCTACCCAATAAGTACCTACCAACCAGAATGTACCTAACGAAAACCGGCATATAATCCATACAAAATCTTACAACAGCAGTCAGTCCATTAGCAATGATTCTGTGCACGTCGTTCGTATTCATCATCCTTCACCTGTCCCGTTGCCACGCATCCTCGTCCGGCTTCTTCATCGACAATGGCGTGGATCAAACGGTACGAGAAATGGAAGTCACCTTGCAAGACCGTCAGGAGATTGAACACGAGATTCTAGATCTGCTAGGATTACCTGATCGGCCCAATAAAGCCCACATTCATCCGTCGCTTCGCAAATCGGCACCGCAATTTCTGCTCAACATCTATCATAAATTTTCCGAGCAAGTCAACGAAGGCAGTGGAAGGCGTGCAAAGCGAAGTGCTGACTATTTCACGATAGCAGATGAACGAGCGATTGAAGCAAGCGATGTAATTATGACCTTCCTCAACAAAGGACATCGGAATATGCCCAAGGTGAGACATCATAGGTACGGCGAACGGTTATTCTTCGACACGAGTGAAGCAGTCACCGATGGAGCGGCCCTACTGTATGCCAGTTTGAGAATCTACAAGAATTCAACCATCGATCATTTGAACACGATCACCAATGGTAGATGGATTACAATTAAGATATCACTAGTCAAGCAATATGACTCAGAGCGAAATTTACACAATCTGGGGTACGTTGCGGAATACACCGTACCTTACAGTTATCAAGGGTGGATCGAGATCAATGCAACCGCCGCGATGGATCGATGGATGATTGAGCCTGTAAACAACAAAGGAATTTTTGTGGAGGTCTTTTACACTGAGAATCGTTTGAAGCAGGTAAGACCTCAAGATGTTGGTCTGATTCTGTCCAATAAATTTGGCCGCTATCAACCTTTCCTGGTTAGCTACTACAAGGGTCGAGATTTGATCAAACCAGCACCTCACGCGACCCGTTCCAAGCGAAGTACGGATATGAATCCGCGGCGAAAACCATACAAGAAGACATCCCGCCCGAGAAATCCCTTGATGGAGAAATGGACTCGGAAGGAGAAAAGTTGCCAGATCCACACCCTGTACGTGAGTTTTCGCGATCTGAACTGGCAGGATTGGATAATCGCCCCGGATGGTTTCGGAGCGTTCTTCTGTCATGGGGAGTGCAGTTTCCCGCTGAATACGCACATGAATGCTACGAACCATGCGCTGATACAGACACTGGTGCATCTGATGCATCCAACCAGTGTGCCGAAGCCATGCTGTGCGCCAACGAAGCTGACTCCGATCTCGGTGCTGTACCATATCGACGATGCGAACGTCAACTTGAAAAAGTACAAAAATATGGTGGTGAAAAGTTGTGGCTGTCTGTAAGAAGAATTGGTTTTGAAATAAAAGTTTTTGACGAAATTAAGAAAAGCACTGTTTATATTAAGTCAATTGAAGAATCAAAGTGACGATAGACTCCCAGATGGCGAGTGGGTGGAAATGGTAATGACGTTTTGATATCTGTCAAATCGCATGACATTTTTTTTAGTATATCATCATTTCTAGATAGAGCTACCCAACAAACAATTTTAGCTGCACACTAGCTTATACAGGCAAAAATTAGCTGTATAAGCCAATTTTTTGCTGTATAAGCTAATCTGCAGCTAAAATTGTTTGTTGGGTAGGGCGAAACAGCTTTTGTAAACAATGACTTCTCTCGATGTTTTCTAGGAATTCAAGGCACGTCCACGCAAATCAACATAACCATCGGGTAGGGAAAGTCTTCTTCTATCCCATGATGATGTTGATTTGCGTGGGCGAGCCTTAACTTTCTAGAAATCACCGAGAGAAGTCATTGTTTACAAAAGCTGTTACGCCCTAATTCTTGCTCTATCTAGATTTTTGTAATTACGGATCTTAAAACTAAGTGTCGCATGACCATTTTTGGCTTTGTTTTGAATACAGGGCATTTAATAAAGGGGCTCTAATGTTGGCCTATGGACAGGCATGGAAAATCATTTGCATTCATTTCATACATTCATATACATTCATTTGCCTCTAACTTTTTTCATCAACAGCATTCCGCAAAATAATGTAGATAGCTTTTGTAGGTTTTGTTATTAGCTACAACTTTTGATCATAACTCAAATCTGTATCTCTTATGCATCACGAACTAGAGCGGGCATAACTTGTTACTGTTTTTCAGTGAATGTAAAATACATTCACTGAAAAACAGTAGTGGCTTCTGTTCACTCTGGTTCGTCATGCATAAGAGATACGCATTTGACTTGTTAACAAAAGTTGTAGCTAATAATAAAACCTACAAAAGCTCTGTACATTATTTTGCGGAATCCTGTTGAAAAAAAAGTTAGAGGCAAATGAATGTAAATGAATGCACGAAATGAATGCAAATGATTTTCCATGCCTGCCTATGGATCTACACATGGCCCTGTTCGCCTGAATCGCCTGTTCTTATTTTTTTCGTAGCACAATGCGTTATAGGGTAGGATGGTGCAAAATGCACCCTTTAAGCAAAATCGTCAATGGCTGGCGAATGGAAGCTAAAATCAAGAAGAAAGTAATGGCGTTTGGTTCATTACCATGTTTTCTACAAAGATCGAGTGATTTAGAACTACAAAAGGATGATTTTCCATGACTTTCAATGTATTTTTTAAATTGCTTCCAAAATGATAGCGGGGCAAAACGCCTGATTCATGATGCAATATGCACCACAACATTGGGACAAGACGCACGACAACAATGGCCAAAACGCACCACAACATTGGGGTAAAATGCACCCCATGGTAAACAAACCATAACCCCTGCAAGTAGATAATGCAAAGGGATGCGGTATTTCAAATGATTATAAGGTCTCAAAATCTCAATAGAATGTTAAACTATGATTCATCAAGTAAAATATCTAAAAAATATACGAAACGTAAATTTTTAATTTTTTTTTTGTGGTACATGATGATAAAAGCTTAATTTACAGTCGATGATTTTAACAACTGTGTCCTGTTTTGCACAAAATGCAATTTTTTTAAGGAATCAGTAGGTCAATACATGATTTTATGATCAAGAATTATTTGTTAAACCTCCAGTTGAAAACAATCACAAACCGTTACCCGGAAAATGCATCTGAGGAAAAGTTATCGCTGTTTTTCTATAAGTGGGCATTTTACCCCAGGGGTGCATTATGGGCTGTTCTCCCTTACAATACAAATTGATATTCAAAGTTTATGTATGGGCTATGTATGTGGCTGAGTGCTTCTCGAAAACCGGTCGATCGACAGCACAGGGATTTTCGAACATACAGAATAACTTTCGAAATGTCACTTTTAACCACGAGTTAAATTTAACTCGGCAAATGGTTCTTAGCCTAAATCTCGGCCTACACGGAGAACCGAAACAACTTAAAATTAAGTCTTTTGTACTCATCTTGACACCTAAGTGAAACCAGTCAAAATTGAGTTCTTTGCGAAGAATCCAAATTTGAGTATATTGCATAGACTTCGTTTTGGGTAGAATTTAACTGATTCAGGAAGAGTGAATGTTGGATAAAAACTACACAAAACCGGGTTTTCATTATAGAAAATTTATTTGAAAAGGGGATTTTTCAGTTGTTTTCTATATTTGTGATGAGTACTGAAAATCAATGTTATGCTCGGCTTTATTTATCTGCATTATTGGATGCACTGTCGGCTCCCGATTCCGGCTAGTGCACTCGAGGAAACGTAGCAGACCCATAAATGCAGCCTGATTGATCAGTATTTGTGAAAAAAAAAGGAGCAAAAATTAATCAACTTCTGGCAATTTTTTTTAAAAACTTTCGGAAAAAAAAAAAAAAGTTTGGAAATCGTAAGCTAATCCCGGAGTAGCCAATTTTTGGGGAAGTCAGGAGAAACTCGGAAATATCTTCCAACAAGTCGGAAAAAACTGTGAGTGACTCATGGAGAAACTTCCAGAGGAAGACGAAAGAAACTTCTGCGAGAACACGATAGATACATCCGGTAGAACTTTAATTGAAATTCCTGGAGAAGACGGAAGAAACTTCCAGGAGACACTGGGAAAAAATGCCTAAGGTAGATTGGAAGAAACTTCTGGAAAAAGTCGGACGCTAGAGAGCTTACGGAACAGTCGAAAGATACTTCAAGGAGAAGATGGAAAAACATCTGGAAGAAATAGATTTCTGGGGGATGTTAGCACAATGTTCCCTGAAGTTCCTCACATGCTCTATTGATCCAGAAATTTTCCTTTTTCTTTTTTTTTTCCTTTGGTTTGTTTTTTCCGTCGATCTTGTTTTCCGTGCTGAGCACCAATGCTACCGACGTGCCAGGAAGGCAGCTCCCACACCTGGACCCTACCTATCGACCCATCAACTCATGAACCGGGGACCAACGGCTTTACTTCCCATCCGAAGGAAGGCGTGATCAGAGATGTTATGCCTCAGAACATCCCGGCGGCGCCGACTGGGATTGAACCCAGGCCTGCTGGGGTGAGAGGTAATCACGCTTACCACTACACCACCGGCGCCGTTAGGAAATTTTCCTGATATTCATAAAAAAAAATCCCTGAAAACCCTGAAGTTTTCGGAACATTCCTAAATTGCTCTTCGGAATATCCCATAATTCCTTGGAACTCTTTGGAAGCTATTGCAATTTCCCTAAAGTTAATGGGGCTCTTTTGAAGTTCTCTGATCATCCTCGAAGTACTCGAGACTTCCCTGATTATTATGAAACTATCGAAAAATCTCTTATCTTCTTTAAAAGTCCCTGGATCTTCTTTAGCGGTTTCAATTTTTTTAAATTAATGAACATTAGCATTAAAGTTCTCTGATCCCCCTTTTTTAAGTTTTCGAAACTGCCGATAAAAAGCACAGAACTTCCCTTAAAATGTTCTCACAATTTTCTAATGTTCATGTAATATCCCTTACGTTTTCAAAATTTTCATGGACCTCTCGGCCTAGAGATGAACTAGCCTAAGGCTAAAAATCTCTTAAATAAAGAAAAAAAAAAAAAAAAAAAAAATGGACCTCTCGGAACTTTACTGAAGTTTTCGTAAATTTCCTGAGTGTCTCGGAATTCATTTAAGGGTTCAGAAATTTCCTTGAATTTATATGCCCTGATGTTCTAAGAGCTTCCTTAAAGTTATCTGAATTCTCCTGAAACAAATGGAACTATCCCGAAAAGCATTAAATTTCATTGAAGTTCCTTGGACTTGTGAAGTTTCCAAAATATTTCAGTTTCCTTAAGTTCATTGGAGTTCTCTGGGCTTTCCTAAGTTTACCGGGTTCTCGAATTTGAACAGAAGATAATGAAACTGTCTTTAATTTATCGGAACCTATTCAAAAGTCCGAACTATTCTGAAGCTTCAGAACTTATGAAAATTTTCTGAAGTTTTCCTGGACCTAATGGAACCGCAATAAAACTCTGGAAGCATTCCTGAAGTTCCGGGGAATAGACGGAAGAACCTTTCGAGCGAAGCCAGAAGAAGCTTCCAACAGAATTCAAAATAGCTTTTCGGAAGGAATCGGAAAATAACTTACAGGGTAAGGTGGACGGAAATTCCTAGGGAAAGTTGGAAGAAACTTCAAAGGTAAGATTAAATAAATTTCAGGAAGTTCAAAAATTAACGTTTTTATGGACCTATTTTTCCACTGAATAAAAGTATTTCCCGATTTTCAGAAATTACCAGGATGAACCATCAGCTGTTTCTCGACTCCTTGGTAACCAAAAACGGCGAGAAAATGGAAGCATTAGTCGAAAGAGTATCAAGCATTATACATTTTTTAAGATGACATTTTTTTAGAGCGGGCTCAAAAATTTTAATTATTAAAAACATAAAAGTCTCTCACAATAGTTTCCTTTGACAATTGAGTGCGGCTAGGCAGTAATCATTTTGATTGTTAATAAAAAAAAATCGGAATACATCGGTATTAAAACTCAAATTTCGGTATTGTGAGAAACTTTATCTGTATATCGGATTCAAGTTTGAAAATCGGTATAAATACCGATAAATTGGTATAGCTGGCAACTATGCACCCCCATAGACGTTAGGTGTCGTATGTAACATTGACCTATGTTTTGGTTAATATGTGCCTACGACGAATAGTTGTTTGACGATAAAATAAAACAGAAATGAGGTTGCGGGCCCAAATTTTGCCGAAGTGTTGGTGCTAATGTTTAATTTGTTTTTGTATAATTTCAGGTGTTAAGGTGGTTTGCTGCCTCTGGATAGTGGGTTTGACGGTGGTTCAGCAAGAATAATATTGAGACATACGAGAATGCAACAAACGTGTCAAATTAACTACATTGGTAACGAAAACACAGAGGAGTGTACACCTGATGTCACACACTAAGGCTGTGAACCATTTGCCGAGTTTAATT